TTAGGAAGTTACTAAGATATACAACATGTTGATTGGTATAATATGAATAAAGTTATTTATTTTTTTATTTTGTAGGATATATATGCCAAAAAAATACCTTAAAAGTATTTAAAAATTAATTAACTCAAGCCATCATTAGCCAACAAATTTTATTCCCAAAATACCCCTGCTGCACAACAAACATCACATGAAGAATGAACTATCTCTGGCCTGTATGCATGATTTTGGTGGGAGAACAAACAACTACCCGACCATCTCTCCGAGCCTCAACTCCCTTCTTCTTTCCTATAAATTCACATGCACAACCTCTCACCCCTCACTCAACATCCATATCTTTCCCTTCTATAAGCACACAAGCAATCCAATTTTCAAAACTATTTCTCAAAGGTTTCCTCTCTTGCTTTCTAATCTTATTTAGTTTTATGCTTTGCGAATCAATTATTTTTTAGCTTTTTTTTTGTTTAGTTAATGGGTACATAGGTGGTGTTGGAGTATACATTTTTTTAATCCTCATTCTTATTGTATTCAAAGTAATTTTGACAATTTGCATGTCAAATATTTCTATTTTTTTCAGATAGTTTATTATTTGGAGTCTGTTTGATTGGGAATTTTTTTATTTTTTTTTTGTAATTTTTTGAAAGGTATAAAACAACAAATTTGGCAAAAGTATTAAGAAAATTCTAAAATTACAATCTTTTCCCTCTATTCTTCTCCGTCCTGCTTTATCTGACATTCCACCGATGTTCTCTAGATTTACCAGCTTGAATCAAACAGATCATATTTTCCACTTTAATTTTTCTCACTCTTATTCATCTATTAAATGTTCTAAATATAATGGCAAATTTCTTATTTAGTTCAAGTTGGAGTGGTTTAATAGGGTATGGTATTGTTGTTCTAATGCATATATACATATATTTGGTACAATGATCATAAAACCAACTAATTAATTGAGATATGATTTTCTAATTTATATTTTGGTTTTGTTCATTACCAGGAATTCATTCTTAATGGAAAAGAAAAATTCAGAACTCTTTCTGAAAAACCTATGCATTATGCAGGATAATGAAAGGTTAAGGCAGCAAGCCAAGCTTCTTGAACGAGAGAACAAGGCTTTGTTGAATGAGCTGGTAATGAAATACTCCAAGATCATTACCCCACACTCTGCTAAGCCAGATGACCCCGACGATGGCTCCAACTCTCCCTCCACCTCGACCTCCACTTCAAAATCCACCAAACCATGATCAAGCCATGTAGTAGTCATGTACCAGTGCATCTACATAAGTACTTCACATATCACTAATGATCAAGTTTATGGTATTGTTGTTGTTTGAGTAGTTCCTTGGTATGGATGTATCTTATTGATTAGTGAAGAGCACAAATGAAGTTTCTAAATTGCAATTCAAATCACTAAGCTGTCAGTCTGAAATGGTTATGTCAATATGTTAAGACTTTTGAACTAGAATTTACAAGAACAGATACCAATTCTACACTTGAGGCGATGCCCACGTATCAGATATTAAACTGATAAAGAACAAATACTACACTTGATCATAGCCAAAAGGCCGAGAAAGCTAGGTATGCATTGTCCATTGTCTCAGACCAATTTTGTATTCCCCAGCTTCTGTTCATCTAACCTAGCTCCTCTATATGGGACTAAATTGAAACTTCTGAGTGGCAGTCCAACCTCGACACTTGCACAAATGCATTTTTAAGTATAGCTCATAATTATAGAGAAGAGAATTTTGCATCAGACATGGCAGCAAAGAAAGGAGCAAGTTTGAACATGGTAGTGAGAGTGGAGTATACAGAAACCTTCCTTCATCACTAGCTTGGAGGTACAGCCTATGAATTCCCCAGTACATGATATATAACTTGTCATCTACGTTGGTAAATTTGTCAGGTTGGTAGTAATATTACTTTGGTTTGCAATAGGCTAATAGAAATGCAGAACTTGGTGAGTCTCCGCATACAGAGTTGATAGTTTCAGAGTTCCTGCTAGAACACTTACACGACTTCTTGGTTGCAGTTGGCTACGTCATACAATATCCCTGGTTCATTTACGATTTACATATACATTATTCCTAGATTTATCTTTTCTTTTTTCTTATTCAGGACATGTTTGTTGCTGGAACTGATACTTCATCTGTAGTTCTAGAGTGGGCTATGTCTGAACTTATAAGGAACCCCAATA